ACATTAACACTGTTTCACATTTAAGTGTTCCAAGAAATGTCATGTCTACTTACCCTAAACCTTTGAACTTGTATGCCCTGTTTTTCAGCCATTTTCAAAAAATGAGGAAAGCTCACATCATCAAGAAGGAGGTAGACAGGAACTCCTCTAGTTGATGCCTCCACAACTTCTCTGAATATGTCAATATCAGTAAACATATCCATAACGATGGCAATCACCTATAATAAGAAAGCAAGATAACTTTAGAATGTAATTTTAGACAACTGTGAGTAATTAATAAATACAGATTTATGTGTATGCTGGTAACAATGTGAAAACTAGAAAGGTAGGTATTAAATGCCATCTTTACTGAAAACTAATATAATAGCATTAGGCTATTTCATTGCTGGTACATTTGGGCAAAACAGGGAATTCTTACACCTCACTAAGTTCCAGGCAGATTTACAAAGCTAGAATGTGATTTAACTTGGACTACCCAAAATATCACTTTTTATCAACATTGATTTTGATACCTACACTATTTAAAAATATTCAGAGAAAAGCAATACATTTAATTTTAACGAGGAGGCCTGTATTACAATGCTGATAACATCACAGGCCTTTTTGGTAAAAGTCAAATGCTGCCACGTATACGGGAGACACAATGGGTGCTACTTATTGCAAATGATTACAAGCCAGACCACTAATATTACTTTTACTACTTAGTACAAGATCTGGGCAGTTAATATGCATATTTTAATCACTGGGACAGTAACTAAAATAAATAAATAAATAAATAATATATAAATAAAACTGATTATGATTGAAAAACATTTAGAAAATCTGTGCACAATAACTTGGACATTTCTGCAAACACAAACTATGTACTTTTTCAAACAAGCTATGATTAAGGTATTTCATTAGGCCAAAACACATCAGTGGCACTGCTGGGGTTTTCCACGCTGTGGAATAGAAGCTTATCTAAGGACTTATAACAGACTTTTGTCTTTGTTATGTGTTTGGGCTGAAAAGAGCTTTCCTGAGCACTGGTAAATCCCTGTTTTACCCAGTAAAAACTAGGAGGTAGAGCAGATATCTTGTCTTTATCACTTTTCAAACACACCTATGTCATTACCTTGTCTGTATATTTGTAATGTTATATTCACTCCCTAGTGGTGTGTGTACAAAATAACATTTAATCTATGTTAGATTTCCATCACCACAACAACTAAAATAAGCCAGTAGTAGAGGAATGACAGTTAATTCCGAATTATGAATAAAGAATATATAAAATTACTACCAAGACATTTTGTGATATAATGCAATTTAAATGTATCTTTCCATTGCAATCTGTAGCTAACAATAGTTTTCTAAAATTTGTCAGAAATTTAGTTATCCCTTCCTTGTAACCAAGCTAACATAAGGACCAAGTAGTACACTGTTTTTGTACAAAACATGCCCAGAAGTCTCATTGTCTCCATGTGTAAATGGTTCATCGCTTTTGTGAAAAGTGTGCACAGTTCGGGTAACATTCTGAGGTATCCAAACACTGCCCTTAGGTTTACAGTGCTGGAACTAATTGTTTTTATATAGCAGACCTTCTCACTTAGCATTCTGTTTGAGAAAGTTAATGCAATTGCCTGTCTTGGTATCCAGAGAATAGAAGCAAGTAAGGATCTGCAATTAAGATGGCTAAGATCCTTGATTTGTATATAATTGACCTTGAGAGAACTATTTTTCTCAACAAAAGCAGTTTCACTTTAAAATGCCATTGCATACTGTAAATATATTATATTATGAGAATAAAACATCTTTTGTATTATATTAAACAAGAATCAAACACATTACACAATAATTCACTAAAGGATTCACTGCAAGGCTGCCTAGTGAACTACCTTTCAGTTTGAATCAGATCAGTTTAAAAACCAAAACTAAAATATCCCAAGCCTTTGTTTGAATGTTCATTGGACCATTGTCAAAATTACTCTTAAGTAAATGGAAAAATAAATCAAAATGCAAATGTAATTCACAGCTGTCCCCACTGTAATATGGGAAAGCAAATATTTTTGTATTTATTGTACTTAAACTCTTGTTTTTTTATGTATTCAAACACAATCACAGCCAGTAATGCTATGGCCAAATCATCCTCATGTAGGTAATATGTGCAATTATTTACTTTTAACAAAGTTAACACTATGGGGTCTATTCACAAAGCTGCCGAAGGATCTAGCCGTAGCTCCGGCCGATCCTTCGGCTAGCTTCAGCCCCAGGACCCCTTCGGTTCTACTGAACTTTGCCCTGCTACTGAACCGAAGGGGTCCTGGGGCCGAAGCTAGCCGAAGGATAGGGATAATCACTATAGCCCGTACAGCTCCCGAACGTGGCCAAGCGGCTCAGTCGAGCCGAACGCATATCTCTCAGCTCGGCTCCTGACGGCAGCCGAGTGAATAGCCAAGCCAAAGTGAACAGAGCCGAACGACGTTCGGCTATTCATTCCAGCTCAGTACAACTGATTTTAGCCGTACATCTGCTGAAATCAGCCGTACATCGGCTCTGTACAGCTGCCTTCAGTCAGCCAAACATGCTCTGCATGTTTAGCTGAGCCATAGTGCAGAAGGAGTTTGATTCAGCCGATCCAACATTTGGATCGGCTGAGCCGAAGCTCAGGTAGTTCTCTCGCTGCAGTTCACCCCTATTTTCATAGGGGCCGAGCGGCAGTGAGTGAACAGCTGAATGCCATCAAGCTGCATTTGGCTCAGCTATTCTGCTCGCTACCTCTGAGGTAGCGAGCAGAATAGAAATAAACATAAACAAATAAAAAAATGTTTAAATTATTTAAATGAATGTAAAAAAATAGAAACATTTAAAATGTTAGGAAATAAAAAAAACAGTGTGGGGTCCCCCTCCCAAGCCATACTAGACCCTTTAGGTCTGGTAGGAAAGTTAGGAGGGACGCCATTTAAAAAAAAGTGTGGGGTTACCCTCTAAATCTTATTCTGTGCTTCCTCAGCCTGATTTACCACTTTATCTACTAGAGGACTCTGTCTGGGTATTTCTGCTACTTTCTTTATTTGACCTTCCAAAAATTCTCCTGTGTAGCTTTTCTGCAGGAATCTATCCTTTATCAATCCAACCTGCTGATCATAATCCTTGTTCCTGGTACAGTTCCTTGTTAATCTCAGGAACTGTCCTCCAGAGATACTCATGCTCCAGGATGGATGAAGGCAGCTGCTAAAGTGAATATATGAATTCTTATCAGTATCTTTTAAAATAGTTTTTGTAAAAAGGAAACCATTATCCACTCTAATCTTAACATCCAAAAAATGGATCTCACTTTGATGTATTTGATAGTTCAGAACTATGTTCTTTTGATTATCATGCAATATCTCAAGAAAATAATCCAATTCAGTTTCGGTACCTTTACAAATCAAGATTACAACATCTATATAGCGTTTGAAAAAAAAGTAATTGTTCTGGTTTATTTCTTTAAAATGTTTCGAACTCCCACCTAAGCATTGACACGGGAGCACAAGCATTGTTTCTTTCCCTGCAAGGAGCTTTTGTGGATTATCAGAGCCTACACATTTATGACGGACTTATTTCATTCACTTTTGGACTTTACTATATAGTTCATGTTATTATGCACTAAATGGTGGATATTGATTATCATTTTTGAGACATTCACGTATAGTAGAATTACTTTATTGTATTTTTTTTATATGATTTTGATGTTCATTTGTGTTGTATTAGCATTTTTAATATTTGTTTACAATTTTTAGAGCATTACACTTCTTTACATTGTCCTTTGCCTCATCAATTGTATTGGATTCTAGTATTGCTGCTAGGTTACACATTTGGCACGGGTTTTATTTAGGTTATATATGGTTTGCACACCTTTCCATGTGTTGTTCTGTATGTTACATTAAGAAAGGGGGCCATTGTGTCCCCAAAACCTCACAATGGTCTATATAGAAACCAGTAATCTGACTGGAACTTGTCGTGTGACATTTACTATCCACAGGATTTTCAGACTTTCAGTGTCTCTGCTAACACACTCCCTGACAGATCTTTGCTTCCCCTACCTGAATGTTCTGTGTAAAAAAATACTATTACTAATTATTTCTTCCTCCTTGATTAAAACTTTTACCACTGGCAATGGCGCATTTCTATGCATGAAAATTAAGTCCCTCAAATTTTTATGGCAGCACCACAACGCAATGCATGTTGTGTGTCGTGGTAGACTGACATGTGTTGTAACACAGCTGCATTTAGGAAAGTAGCAATAGTGTTCTGCCAAAAAATTGTTGCATTTGATAATCCTGATCACCTGCTTCTGTGCGATAAGGGTATGTACACTTGGAACAAGCTATAAGTTATAACTATGGGGTGTGCACTAAACTTTTTTAGTTTATGTGTGTTGTCATTGTCCTGAAAAAATGTTACTGAAAGTTTTTAGGACCTGCACGGCTGTGCTGTTTTCCACAAAGTCCCCCTTAAACAAAATGCACTGATTAGCAAATCTCCTTACCACACAGTGAGACTCCCCAACTACTGTACACTAGGTATATGCCCCTGTCCACCCATCATCTACAAAGTGTTAACAGTGTGCAATTTATTTTGGAACATCTCTGTAAAAGGACTGGTGACCTGCCTATATTTCCTACCTAGCAACCCTATCAACTGCTTTCTACTATTGTCTGTTGTCTCTGCTCACTGATTAGTAACATTCTAATATTTCTGGCTTGTTGGCTGTTATTTATTGATTGTTGACGTGAAGGCTATCATGGCAGATCATTTACTTTACTTATTGACTTGATTGTGATCTCCAATAATTCTAAGTTCCAGGAATCTACAGTGATTCATAATGCTGACCCTGTCATTAGCAGCCCAGTCTCAGTCTTGTTCTTGCCTAAGCTGTTGATCTTAAATTATGCTGCATGGATAGCTTACTCTGGTTTGCTCTGGTTTACTGAACATGAACATGATGAGCAGACATGTGTGTGATGCATATGTACCACTATGCAAAACTATGAGTCTGGTTGAGCTTCTTATTAGTAAGCATCATGATGTTCAAAACATGATATATATGTAAGTGTACGTATTAAAAATGTATAAGTAGATATGTCATACCACATACAAATATACCAATTCAATCAGGAAACAATACATCTGCTGCATAAATCAATACAGTTTATTTATTTTAATTAGAGTGTAAAATAATACAAATATTAACATTAAT